TGTAGTTAACGGCAGAGTCTAATGAGCTCTATGTATGAAGATGAAATGATTCAGCAGCTCCTCTACAGCAGTGCATGTATGTGTCCAGCAGAAAGGACAGGATGAAGCCACAGACAGTCACCAGATTAAAGTACAAACATGTACCCTCGTTGAATTAAACTGTGATGTTATGCAGTCCCGAATTTTGCCATTCTGGGTGGGAGTTGTGAAATAATTTTGTTCTTACAGAGGGTTTCACTCCTGTAAAGTCTAAAACCATTGCATTACAGTATGTTATGTAGCAGGCTAGAGACCTTCACAGGAATGGTGACAGTGCTGTGTTAATCACAGTTTTCAAATTTGCACAGGCTCCTGTTATAATTTATTTAATCACAATCAGAGGATAAATCCCATACAAATGAAAAGTCTCAAGTTTTTTTTTATTTTAATTGTTATTTTTGTAGTAGAAACACTGCAATATTATTACGTACTCTATCGGCAGTACTCAAATAGAAAGTACTTGTACTTGGTCTAAAAAAAGAGGTATCGGTGCATCCCTACAAAAAACATAACACCTCCACCTGTCGCTATCACCAGTGTGGGTGAGGACTTCAAAAGAGGTTAGGTCACCAGAACTCTGTGGCTTAGTCATCTGTGTTAGAATCTACTATAAGTCAATGTAAAGTCCCCGAGAAGAAAGAAAACTAGTGTGTATGTGTGTGTGTTCTTGTACTTGCTATATAGTGAAGAACAAAACAATATTTTTGCTACAGAGTGAGGACATTTTTGGAAAGCGAAGACATTTTGGCTGATCCCCACTTTCTGAAACACCTTTTTGAGGGTTAAGACTTGGTTTTAGCGTTCAGGTTAGAATTAGGTTTAGGTCAGGGTGAGGCATTTAGTTCTGATGGTTAAGTGTTAGGGTAAGTGGCTAGGGAACACATTATGTCAGCGAGTGTCCTCACAAACATAGAAGTACAACTGTGTTTGTCTAAATATACTGGGTGTGCACATGCTGTATAAATGTGCATGTGTGTAGCACATATATTATAATCACACCCCATTCAGCAGTGCTTGGAGTTGTGCATGCATCTGAGTGTGTCTGTGTGGTATATAGAAGTAATTACAGCAGCTCTTATGCAAGGAGAAAGCACTACCCTGCCTGCACTCACAGGCAAATAGCAGAACCACAAAGAGATGTCCCTCTAAATATAGCTCGAATTGTTCACAAAAAAAAAAAAAATAAAGCGGGACGCTTGTGTTGTATGGGAAATAGGGTGTATGTATGAGTCAGCAGACAGAACAAGAAAGGTACAGGATGTTTTGTGTGTGGTGTCGTGGGTGGTTGTGTAGGGGTGTACTGGATTAAAAGAGACCACCCACAACAGTTGGAAGATACATTAGGTGCTTCCAGCAACTTGTGTTGTGAATATCTCCCTGGGCGTTGTTATTCTAGAGTCAGTTAATGAATTGGCAGCTAATCTGATAACATTACATAAACACTAGGAGTTCATGAGCTTGTGTGTGTGTGTGTGTGTGTGTGTGTGTGGACAGTGTGAGAATGAGGAAGAGAGAAAGGAAAAGACAGAGAGTAAATTCCAATTCCTTTTTCTGATCGTTCCTCACTCCTCCATCCTCAGTTGATCCGGAAGTCGTTCCAGTCTGCCATTTTGAATGATGTCTCACAGCTCTCACTCCTGCTCTGAGGAGCGAGGATTGAGGAGTAAGGAAGCAGCCCAGAGGAGCAATAACAAGGGAGCATCCTTCGTGGAAGTTATTAATGGACCAATACACCCCTGTATCAGAAATGTGTTGGTGATTGGGCACTTCAGATGAAGAATCAGAGAAAGGAATGTCTCATGTCTGCATAAACACATTTCCTCCATTCCTCTTTCTTCACATTTTCTTTTTGCATCTTTTCTTTGCATCTTACGTGGGCAGGACTAAGGTGCAAGGAGAACACACAAGTGAGAGAAATGTGGATGCAATTAAGGGAATTGGGATGACTCCAAAGTAAAAGAAATCTTCAGACATCTTCACCCCTCAGAATGATGCGGATCTTCTACAATCGTTCTCAATGAATGGATTCAGTGCACGCCATTTTCAATTAGTCAGCCTGAAAGCATTGTGAGTTGATGTTTGCAGAGATCGAACTCTAAGTGTTCAAGCCATCATCCTCCAATGGAATGGGATAATCTCACGAATGAATGGCTGGTTAACCTCGCAGTGTAGTAAGACCATATAAGTATCACAGGTTGACCTTTTATTGGGTGACTTGCACATTAATCTGCTGCTACTTGCCTTTGTGCACTGGACCTAACATGACAGGGCTATTCTCCAGGGCAGCTCTGATTATGTCCCTGTATTCAGAGTAGGAGCAGCATTGTCAGGTCTCACCGAGAAACATTCTGACTGACTTCATTTTCCAATTTCCAGAGTGTACAGTCATTTAAATGTGGAGTTTTCATCTTAGGAACAGTATAAGATGTACTTTGTTTATGGGAACTTATTCATGTTTGGTTTTGTGAATTTCTCCCATTAGCACAAATCGGCCTCTACCCATTTGCTGCCTGCCTGAAACCAGGGATGGGAATTTAATTCAAACATGCAAGAGCAAAAAGTGAAACCTATTTGAAACTTCATTTGGTCCTAATTTCAAACACAGCAGGGTGGTGATGAGTGCAAATGTGCATACTGACAATCTGACTTGATCACATCTCATACTTAGTTAACTCACTGCGAATAGGCACCCAAACCAGTGAACTAAAAGTCTGTTTACTTCCTACAGAGCTGAGCACCTATAGGGAAGCAGCCAACAAGCTTATCAGTCTCAACAAGTTGGGGAAACCTGCATCAGCTGTCAACGGGAAGGTAAAAATAATAGTTCTATAGAAAAAATGCACAATGGACAAGACACTGATCAAAGTTTCTCAAAACAGCCCTGAAAGAATAGCTACTTCACAAGGCTCACTGTAAAGCCACTATGTTAACATTAGCTGTAACACTGTGATACTTAATGAATATGGTTTAGTCCAATATGCCAAAAATGTTGTGAACAAAAGAGTGATGTGTGCTGCTGCTGGTCAGTGTCGGGCCACCACGTCGTAGTCGATGGAAAAAAAAATCCGACATGCTAGACTTTGTGTTGGGATGTCGTGAGGTGTGCCAGATGCAGCATCGGGTGTCGTTTACTATGACACACTATATGAGATAAAACAATCGATTGTTGTGTCAGGCGCTGTTTGTTGGTTTAGACACCTTAAATTCATCGTGTCTGACTTAAATTGTCTAATCTGAATCCCATATAGATCAAGCATTAGTAGCACTGTGTTGTCTGTTCTGTTATCTGGCCAGAAACAAACTGTTCTGTCCTAACTGCTGATGACAATGCATCCCAAACTGATACACAGGCGTCACACACACTCTTCAGGCTGGGTAACAAAGAGCTGGTGAGATTCAAAGCAAGGCCAAAGTCTGGCCTCTGCTGACCTCCCAGCTGAAAGAGGTCAGCTACATGCCTTCATCATCTGCTGTTTCCAGTTTAGTCATTTCAAATCACCCGATTGTACAAACACATTTGGGAATCGTAGACTAGATAATGAACTTCAATTGAAAATTGGGGGAGCTAATATAGAACGAGTATATGAAATTAAATTTCTAGGTGTCATAGTTGATGACAAATTCTCCTGGAAATCTCATATCAGATATGTTCAGCACAAAATAGCAAAAAATATATCGATATTGGCAAGGGTTAGATATATTTTGGATGGGAAAGCACTACGCATTTTGTATTCCTCATTGATTTTACCATACTTAGAGTATGGCGTTGAAAAC